CAAAAAGGCACCGCTGGGATTCGAACCCACTGTCTAACGATCTGATAACCGCGAGCGTAACCCCTCGGCCATCTCAGAGAAGTTACATGTAGTCTTTTATTTTAAGAACAAAACAAAAACATTAACTAATGTATTGGCAAGAAGGCAACTGATGTGCCACACAACGGCACGACGCAATTGAGCCGTCGTGCCTTCGTCTCGCTTTGGAAGAGGCTAGAGAGAGGCAGAAATGTGTGTTGTAAATAGTACACGATAGAAAAACTCCACACACTCAGTGGCGGTTCTACGTGGTGTCATGTGGGTGCAAATTAACCCACTAACAAGCCTCTTGCACCCACATTTGCACCCACAAAAACTTTGTCACATTTTACGGCAGGGCGATCAACCGTTTCATTTTAAAGATTCCGCATCATAACCTACGGAAAATGAAGGATCATTTGCACCGACGCGATTCTGCCTTGCCCGACACTAGCATACAGCCACCGAGGTCTGGCGCGCCGATCGTCAAGGCGCCGCCACTGTCCACTCTTGACTGAATTGAAATTTCATAGGAATGTCATGTGGGACACGGGACAGCTGAGATCTTCCTACCACAATCCCTGATTTTACAGAGTGATTTTGAGGTGGAACGGGAGATTTGTGTTTGATTTTGATGCTCAGCTGTACAAAGCTTCTCGGAGAGTTTAACTTTCCAAAAAACTGGAAAATCAGATGAAGATGATAAAATTGGGGCAAAACTTTTTTACATTTGCGCAGGTGTGTGTGTGTGTTTCAAAGGGCAAAAAACGTCTTATTTTTGGAGGCTGTCACATTAATTTTTTGGCCCCTTAGGCGAAACAGTGTTCGATTTCCTGTCAGCAAGCACGTCACCGTAGACCTGCACGTCGACAAATTAAAACATTTTTTTTTATTTGGTAAAAAAAGATTACCAGAAGCTGCCAAACTTGCTAAATCGACTGAATTCTGCTACTGGGTAATTTTAACATTTTTTGATGGGGTGTGGCTGAGTAATATATACAGTAAAGGAGTCCCTCTAGTTTTCCATACATTTTAGTTAGGCACTCTTTTTCAGATGACGTAATTTCTTTAAATTAAATTTACATCTGGGAACCAGACGAATGAGGTGGTCTTATGTCCTGTGTACATGTACAAGCTGAAAATGCTTTTGAAAAGTAAAAAGGGTGGGGGCTCAGTCTAATTTAATGTTGGTAGCGGCCGGCGTTACCCGCTCATGCAGTCCCGGTGGACATCGCGCGTTATACATGTACAGCATTTCCAGGAAAAAAAAGTGAGGATGAAAAGAAAAACAGCGTTGCTGCACCACTTTTGGAGCCAACTCCTGACCAGAAACTGGAATTTTTGGGGGGCCTTAGGCTCCTTATTCAGACCCTCGGCAAGGTACCGACTGTGCTTACTGAAAAATCTGGACAGAAAACAAAACTTTTTTCAACAACACAGAGCCCCTTTTTTTCTTTGAAACTGCTTTAAAAAACACGTGCTTGCCTTGCCGGTCAAATATTCCAAAGAGGACAGATTAAAACAGTGTTTCCGGTGAGGGAAATATAATTTCATTGTAGAATACAATCAGAAATGTCACAAGTTTTTATGACTTGTATGAAACGCGTTTGGCAATTCAAACAGATGTTTTCTGTGTTTGTGTGTGTTGTAATAACTATTATCTATTACTATAATTATTATTATTATGTTAATTAATGTTGGTACAGCCCCCTTTTATTATACCATCATGGTTGTGGATTCCCCGTATAGTGCAGGGTCGTGGCTGCACCCGCCTAACCTCATATCCCTCTCCAATTAAATGAACGGATCATGCATTTCCTTGTTCGCGTTGGGAACCCTCTGACTTCCCTTCAGTAAGGAGGAAACACATGCATGTACACAGTATTAATGTTGACGCTAAGCTGTATGGCCATGTACAAAGCTTATTTGAAAGGATATCGGTATTGCCATGACATTTTCGAATTTTCGTGTACGAGGTCCTGCTCAAACCTATGTTGGTTACCGGTACTGCTCCGACCCTTAGATCAGCGCACCTTGTGCACTAAGCTTACTGTTCCCAAACTTATTTATATATAATTATACATGATCCTAAAGTGGATAAAATCCTTAACAACAAGGACTGAAGAACGAAAAATGAGCTGTTACAGATCCACACTACGGGCGTAAATCCCGGTCTGATGGGGTTATATACATGTAACCCCCACTTTTTGACGGGGGGGCTATTGAATCCCTCCACACACTTTTTCGTGGTAAGAAAACATTCAGGCGAGTTGTGAAGAATTTCTCGAACTTCTCCATCACTAAAATGTATTCAGTAGCACTCACAGTAGGAACAATAAAAAAAACAGGAACGGGATCCATCTTACATCTGTATCATGAACATCTTCCCCTGTATATACATGTAGGGTCATCTGGTGTTAGCACTCCCCCCCCCCCCGCTTTTCAAATTTCCATGGCCCACAATTCCACATAGCCTAACCCAATTTTCGGGACTGATTTATGCCACTCATTCACATCCAACTGTGAGCCAAATCAGAAAAACAGCTGACCTATTTTGCGACGATAGAAGATACCATAATGTATTACCATAAGGTGAGAAACAGTATCGTCCATCTTCAGCCTGAGAGTCATGCTCTTTTATCTAACAAACTTTTCCTGCGGTGTGTAGACAACTTTAACTGCTCGAAGAGAGTACACATTTTGATAAACTGAGTTAGGAACATTGATCACCTCTAATAAATAATGACATTTAAACAACAGTTGTGTTTATAATAAAGACTGAAAGTTAAGCATTTTAAATAAAAGGTCCTTCAACAAAATAATAGATTGAAAGGATATTAAGACTAATAATAAACTTTCTACTTAAAAAAACACTGCACTTATATAATTATTTTGTGTGCATGATTGCAACAGAACCATTGTTAGAAACTGAAACGTGAAGACTTATCTGAAAATTATATAGAAATATGTTCCATGCATCGTCAGGACACTTTTCGTAACATTTCATTAATCTTTTTCAGTATTTCATAAATTGGAATTATAGCAATGCTAAAATCTACATGACACGAGTGAATAGGAAACGACTCGTACGCGTTTTGTTAGATGTCCAGCTTGTGTTTGCAATTGTGGAAAATGAAGACAAAATAACATTACGATTTAGGGCAGCGTCGTTTGCTAATGGCAATCATTCTAATTCTATAAAGTACTCTACTGGCAGTACATGTAATTTATTGAACTATATAGTACATTGGACATTGCTTGGATAATCACATCCACCAACTTGCGCATTCCAGTACAGGTCTCCTCCACAACTGAACCGGTACGTCTTGCCACCGGCGCAGTGGTAGTAACCGGCACAGTCAGAGGGATCCCCGTAATAACCGTGCTCTCGTCCGTCACACGAGAAGACTTCGTTCCGGTCGCACTTGACATTACGAGGCCAGTCACATGAGTTAATGTGGGAATTCCACAAGAGACCATCCTGACAGGACGTTAGATATGTGAAACCGTTTGCGCATTGGTAGAATTTACTGCAGTCCGCTGGGTCAGCGTAATGACCGTCGGCTCGGTCATCGCAGAACAGGGGGGTGTCTGGGGCGTTGCACTGGACGTTTCCGGGATAGTTGCAAGTATACGTTTGGGGGTCGAAGTACAAGCCTGTACCACACGGAAGATAGCTTGCAACTCCTTGGTTGCAGATGTAGTACATCCTGCAACTGTTGGGATCTGCGTAATATCCATTGGGCTTATCCCGACACGTGAAGGTACCGGCATCTGGTGAGTGGGTTCGTGAGGATGCGTTAGTGGCTGGGGCGTCTGTGGACAGTGCGTTGGTGGCCAGTGCATCGGTGATTCTTCCGTCGGTGGCCGGTACGTTGGTGGCCGATACATCGCCGGCTGGTGCGTTGGTGGCCGGGGCGTCTGTGGAGAGTGCGTCGGTGGCCAGCGCATCGGTGATTCTTGCGTCGGTGGCCGGTGTGTCGGTAGCCGATATCTCGGTGGCCGGTACGTTGGTGGCCGGGGCGTTGGTAGCTGGCGCGTCCGTGGCTGGTGGGTCAGTGACCAGCTCATCGGTGGCTGGTGAAGAGGTGGCATCTGTTTGCAGGTTCGAAGCAAATTAAGTAAAATACACAACTGAAGGACACTAATCAAGAAAAGTAGGATAAAAAGAAATAAATATACAGAACCAGTCTAATCGGCACATGTGATTACATTTGGCACATAAAACTTTTACACAATTTTACTGTTTGGGCTGATTTAACGAAGAATTTTAGTCAATTTGTATTCTGCCTAGCATATTTATTAGGCAGAATGGCACTACTGCACCAGAAAGAATACAGACGGTAGCATGTATGTAATGGACCTCCCCAATATTGCAAACCAGTTCTGTCTACATGCACTGTGCGGGGATGTACATGTATGTAGACCTACCAAATGCAAGCCTACGGTTGATGGCTTTCATCAGCGGCCAAGTCTCGCCGCAGTCCCCGTTGAAATCGTCTAAATCAATGGCCCACACCATGGCGCCACCCAAGCCTTTCTCCTTCAAAAAGTCAACCTTTGAAAAAAAGAAAAAAAGGTCTGTAAAAATTCAGCAACCATAATAACATAATCATAATAAATTTAATAGGCCTACTTCTGCATGGCCAAGGGTGCCCTCCTCAGTCACACTATTATTAGACTGGTACATACATGTACATGCACGTGTGTTTGTACCTACTTTGACACGTATGCTCCTTTTATCGTCATAACCAACCCATTGGTTACCATGGAAAGCATAAGGAACCCGGCGCCTCACATCCCATACCCGTGTCAGCTGGCCATCTTGGAGTTTGTTGCAAATCTGGGACAGGTTTTAAAAATAAAATCACAAACAATGATTAGATTTTTTTGTGAACCCTCATTGTTTCTACATTCATTGCCAAATGGAGCACTTTGTTAAATTAGACTTAGCAAATTTTGGTTTGTGTGTGTATGGGGGTGTTCGTTTTTGTTTGTTAGGGTGTTTTGGTGCTTGCTTTTTCCATTGTGTTTTTTTTCTGGGGGAGGGTGGTGGGGTGTTTGTTTGTTCAGGTGTTTGTTGGGTTGTTTGTTTGTTTGTTTGTTGGGGTGTTGGGGGTGTTGGGGTTGTTTGTTTGTTTGTTTGTTTGTTTGTTTGTTTGTTTGTTTGTTTGTTTGTTTGTTTGTTTGTTTGTTTGTTTGTTTGTTTGTTTGTTTGTTTGTTTGTTTGTCTGTTTGTTTGTNGTTTGTTTGTTTGTTTGTTTGTTTGTTTGTTTGTTTGTTTGTTTGTTTGTTTGTTTGTTTGTTTGTTTGTTTGTTTGTTTGTTTGTTTGTTTGTTTGTTTGTTTGTTTGTTTGTTTGTTTGTTTGTTTGTTTGTTTGTTTGTTTGTTTGTTTGTTTATTTGTTTTTCATTACCTCATAATAAGATAGGAAGCCATCTTCTCGTGTTGAAACTCCTGGAGTACCCGGTCCGCTAACGGGAGCGCCAATGCCCGTCTGCTGCCCCCTCAATGTGAACGAGCGGCCGTAAAGACCCATACCCAGAACGAGCTTGGAGGGCGGTGTTCCTCCCTCTAGCCAAATATCAACAGCATTGGACTGATGAGAAAAGAAAAGATTGAAATTAACTGAGACTGAGCCTTACACCCTTACCAAATGCAGCTTTGAAACAGAGTATCTCTGCTGAAGGGCAGATTATTCTTTCCTGAATGTGACAGGGTGTGTCGGGAGATATGGACAGATAATTTGTGACACAATTCAGGGAGTGTAACCTCGTCAGTTCCCTCTCACCGTATGACGCTTTATATATAGTGGAGGATCCTCCCAGTAGAAATTTTTCAGTCAAGTGATTTTTGATTGTCAGCGTTCCGTATACACAGGTGTACATGGAAAGATGTGCAATCAGGATTCTGGGGTGCTTGCAATAAAGCCTGGAAGTAAAAGGTCATGCAGCGAGCTTCTGGAATCCTCGCGCGGTCCGCCTGTGGGGTTTTTACATTCGGCCATCAAGTCACGTTCGATAATTTTTTGAAAAATAATTCCTAACTGAAACCACGCCATGAAACGCTCATGTTGGAATTTTACCTTTGTCTTCCTCAACTAATATTTAGGAAAA